ACCCCTTCTAGCAGACGTGCCTGCTTGTTTACGCTGGGCCCCAAGCCTGCCTTCTCGGAGATATCGATCCAGACGCCGGGGTAAACGTGCCGGCCGGCTGGTAAAACTCAAAGCTCTGCGTGGTCAACGTTTCCACAGCCAGCTTCCTACGTGCCCGGACCAGGGAAAATATGGGTGTTGTCTACCGGCCCGGCGCTTGGACCGTCCTGGAGGCGCTGTTTTTGAAAATCTGCAACCGTTGGCACGCACCACCCCCACCATGGCTGGTTCTGTGTCGAACCAGATCAGGACGTGCCTCATCAACACAAGGTCTGTTGCCAACAAGACTTTTATTCTAAATGACTTTTTTAAAGACGAGGGACTAGATTTTCTTTTTCTCACTGAATCCTGGTTGCCTTTGGGTGATTCAAGCGCCTTGGTGGAACTTTTACCTCCGGACTGTCTGTGTTTTAATGCCCCGCGGCCATCAGGCCGGCGGGGTGGTGGAATATTAACTGTATTTAAATCAAACTTTTCCTGTAAACACTTGTCCACCCTCATGCCCTGCTCCAGTTTTGAGCTGAGTGCTTTTGAACTCGGACATTCCCCGCCCGTTCTGTGCGTGATTGTTTATCGCCCCCCTCGTTCCAAGGACTTCATAAGTGAATTCTCTGATTTTCTGGCTTGCATCACACCAAGATATGATCACTTTATTATCGTTGGTGACTTTAATATTCACGTCTGTCGTCAGGAGAAGCCATTAGTGAAGGACTTCCTTGATTTGTTGGACTCATTTAATTTAACCCAACATGTAAATGCTCCCACCCAACAACACGGTCACACTCTGGATCTCATTTTAACACGTGATGTCTCTGTTTGTAATTTGGTGATCGGTGACAACGTTCTCTCAGACCACATGCCTGTCTTGTTTGAAATTATCCCGCCTTGTCCTACTGCTAAGTCATGTGATTCTGCACGTACTTCACGCACCATTAACCGTTTCACTGCTGCACGTTTTACTGAAACTTTTAGCTCTGAGAGGATCGATCAGCTCTCAGTGTCTCTCTCCACCGAGGAGCTAACCTCGCAGCTTAACTCCGTTTGCTTAAATATTCTGGACCATGTTGCTCCCCTTAAAACCAGGAAAACAAAACTTTTATCAGAACCATGGCTTAATGACATCACTCAAGCCGTTAGACAGCAGTGTAGGAGAGCAGAACGCAGGTGGAGGAAAGACAGGCTGCAGGTTTCTTTTCAAATCCTAAAGGAGAGTTGGCGTCATTATCAGAAGGCAGTTAAAGCCGCCAAATCGAAGTTCTTTTCTGCGTTAATTGCCTCAAACTCCCACAACCCCCCGAGCCCTTTTTTCCACTCTGAACTCAGTTCTACACCTCAGTGAACCTTCACCTCTAGAAGCTTCAACTGAGCTGTGTGAAAACTTCCTCCATTTCTTTTCTGAAAAAGTTGCAAACACCCGGGCACTCATTTCTCCACCTGCTCATGATCCGTCCATCCCATCTCATTGTGTTGCTGTTCTTGACCACTTTGAGCCCATCTCTCTGTCTTCCCTGGAGCAGGTCATGTGCAGCATGAAGCCATCTGGCTCCCCTTTTGACGTTGTCCCCCCTCGACTCCTGAAGGAGCTTCTTCCTGTTCTGGGCCCTCCTGTTCTTGGCATTGTGAACAGCAGCTTAGCCTCAGGTGTGGTGCCAATAACTTTTAAACATGCTGCTGTCCAACCTCTCCTGAAAAAACCTAGCCTTGACCCCTCAGTCATGTCCAACTTCCGGCCTGTCTCCAGACTCCCATTTGTCGCTAAACTACTGGAAAAAATAGTGGAGTCCCAGCTGAAATGCTTTCTAGAGGATAATGCCATCTTAGAGCTATTCCAGTCTGGCTTTAAACCTCTCCAAAGCACTGAAACTGCTCTTCTCAAGGTTTTTAACGACATTCTCCTATTCACAGACGCTGGTGATTCTGTGCTCCTTCTCTTACTGGACCTCACATCTGCCTTTGATACAATCGACCACGAGATCCTCATTGCGAGGTTAGAGCAGTGGGTGGGCATCACTGGGTCAGCCCTCGAATGGTTTAGATCTTACCTCGCTGACAGGTCCTTTTGTGTCTCCATCAAAGATTTTAGTTCAGCCTCGGCAGCGCTTAAATGGGGGGTACCGCAAGGTTCCATCCTTGGTCCTCTTTTATTTTCTCTATACCTGCTGCCACTAGGTGCTATTTTCAAGAAACATAACATACCTTTTCATTTCTACGCCGACGACTGCCAAATCTACTTCCCCCTCGGACTCAACGGTACTCGCTCTATTCAACCGTTACTGGACTGCCTGGCTGACATCAGAGATTGGATGGCTTTAAATTTCTTGAGTTTCAATGAGAAGAAATCTGAAGTTATGCTGTTTCCTCCCAATGACACAATCACCAACCACTGCATCGACCTATCCGTTCTGTCACCGTTAGTGAAACAAAGAGTCACTAATCTAGGAGTGATACTTGACCCTTCTCTGAAACTCAACAATCATGTAAATATGATTGTTAAATCCTGCTTTTTCCAGCTGAGGCGACTGTCTAAGCTGAAGCCCATATTGTCCAGAAATAACCTGGAGACAGTAATTCATGCATTCATTACATCCAGGCTCGACTATTGCAACTCACTCCTTTTTGGTATCAGTCAGACCTCCATAGCTAGACTCCAACTGGTCCAAAATGCAGCAGCCCGGTTTTTGACCAGCACAAGCAAAAGAGAACACATTACTCCTGTTTTGGCCTCCCTACACTGGCTTCCAGTTCACATTCGAATCAAATTCAAAATACTCTTGTATGTCTATAAATCACTAAACAGCTCTGCCCCCTCCTATCTTACTGATCTGCTCCAGCCGTATGTCCCACCACGTTCTCTCAGATCAGCAGACCAGTTGCTCCTAACAGTCCCAGGAACCCGCCTCAAGCGCAGAGGTGACAGGGCCTTCTCTGTAGCAGGCCCAAAACTTTGGAATGAGTTACCTCTGCTCGTTAGACAGGCCCCCTCCCTCACAGTTTTTAAATCTCGCTTAAAAACACACTTTTATTCCCTGGCTTTCTGCACTGTGTGACCTGTGCTGAGTCTGTGTGCATCACACTGTGTTGGTCATGTTGCAGTTGTTGTTGTTATCCATTATTGTTTTTGTCGGTTTCTACATTTTTGGTGTCCTGTTATGTAATCTGTTGCTATGTGCTTGTTCTGTTTGTCCCTGTACAGCACTTTGGTGTGCTTTGTCACTGTTTAAAGTGCTATATAAATAAATTGGTATGGTATGGTATGGTATTGTTGCCAAAAATTAATAAAAAAAAACACAAATAATATTTTTAAGCTTTTTTTGGTTGGCTGGAACATTTAAGGGTAAAAATGGCATCTGAAAAAATATTTTCATTTTACTGACCAAACACATTTCACTGGAGACTCATATCATTTTTGTAGAAATATATAATGTTACTGAGTTTATTTATTTTTGTTAGATCTTATTTCTTCAGTGTTGTTCTTTTTTTGTTTTGTTTTCTCTTTCAGCTGCTCCCTTCTTCAGGGGTCACCACAGCGAACTAACTCGCATGAAGACTTGACAATTGTTTTTATGTGGGATGTCCTTCCTGACTCAACCACAGACCACTGAGCTACCACAGCCCTCTGTGTGGAGCAGAGAGCTGCTATTTAGGGTGCCCGGGGAAGCAGATGGTGGGGGTTAAGAACCTTGCTCAAGAACCCAGAGTGGGGAGGCAGGTGTGGGTATTTCACCTTTCTCCCCCACAATTTGATGTTGGCAGTCCAGGGAGTTGAATCGTTGACCTTCCGATCACAGGCCCACCTTCTCTAACCTCTGCGGCACCACTCTCCCTGCTGTTATGTTTTAATAGTTTTGTTTATTTAAAGACTAAAATGCCATCTTTGTGAAGCAGATGCCTTAATTAAGTTCCTGATCAAATATGATGTTTATTGATTTAAAATCAAATAGTGACAAGTTTATGAAGGACTTTGTGAAGAGGATTTATTGGTTGAATTACTTCTATTTTTATAGTGTTTGAATATAAAAAAAACAGTTTGGACATTTAATAAGTTTTCTGAGGAAATGTTGTGCTGGCAGTACACCTCCTGTGCTGTCACACAGGTTCTCTTGGTGGGAGATGAACACACCTGACAGCACATAAAGGTACCCCTCAGGTTGACGTCGAAGGTTCGATCCCACTCCTCCAGACTGGTGTCTTCACTGGCCGAGTTCATGTTGATCCCAGCATTGTTACAGGCAATGTGGATCGCTCCCCATTTGGAGACGACGGTGTCTACCATCCTCTGGACATCACTGGACTTACTGATGTCAGCCGTGATGGAAATGGCAAGGATCCCTGACAGAAGAAAGTATGGACCGTTTCTTTTAGACAAAACAAATCTGAAATTATTCACACAAATTATAAAATAAACAGCATACAAGAAATTTAAAACACTTTTAAACTTTTTGTGTTTTCTCGTTTTTGTAGAATGTTTTATTCCATAAGAGAAAATCAGTGAAGAAATACAAAGAACATTTGAACCCCTTTTTATCCTTTACTATGCTGACATCTGCTGGTCACAAACTATAAACAGGTTACACATTTTATAAACATAAACTATATATTTTAATGCAAAATGACTATTTAAATGTCCCAAAGCACATGATTTGTTCTATTATAGCTTACCTGAGTACCTGCCTCTCTGCAACCCTTCCAGATGTTATTTAAGATGTCTAGTTTTTGTTCTGGCCGTCATCTAAATAATGATTATCTCTTAAAGCTGTAAGAAGCAATGTACTTAACACAATACTTCACTTTTTTATGTATTTGCACTAAATTAACTAGACATTTTTTATTATTATTAGTTTACCTTTTTTTTAACCAGGCAAATCCCATTGAGATCACAGATCTCTTCTGCAAGAGAGGCCTGACAGCAGCCTAACATGCATGTCTTTGGTCTGTGGGAGGAAACTGGAGTACATGGAGAAAACCCACGCAAGCATGAGAAAAACTTGCAAACTACACACAGAAAGACCCCAGGTCCAACCGGGGTTTGAACCCAGGACTTTCTTGCTGTGAGGCAACAGTGCTAACCACTGAGCCGTCGTGCTGCCAAATGAAGCCTATTGGGTACATAGATCAAGTGTTTTGCATGAGCATTACTCACCTTTAAGAAAGAGTTCCCTAGAAACAGCCTCAGCCTTTCCTTCATCCATGTCCACCACAGCCACCTTAGCACCAGCCTCACCCAATGCGTGAGCGAACGCTCGGCCTATTCCCTGCCCCCCACCTGTCACATACGCCACTTTTCCATCAAGGCGCATCCGATCTAAAATGGAACGACCCTTAACTCCTCGGAAAACTTCATCGTCCGTTATCTTACATTAAAGAAGAAGAATCACCATGCAGCCATGTTCAGTGAGAATGAAAATGTTACCAGCCGATGCTTATCTGAGAAGGTGCAACAGTACCTGTGGCGGCGAGCACTGGGAGGCCACAGGAAGGCGCCGGATGAGACTGATGCCATCTCTTAGAGGGACAATGACCTTTTAAACAGAGGGAGTAGCCTTAACATAAGAGGAACAAGAATAAAACTCCTGACTGAAGCATGGAAAGGTCTGAAACATACCTGCTCTACTCGTGGATCGTTGGAGATAAACTGGTTGAACTCTCGAAGCGCCAGTCCATTGCTGTCTGTGGTGTCTTTAAGATAGACTTTTGCTTTGAACAGAGAGTTATCTACACACATAACCCCCTGCAATCTCAGCAGAGAGTTGTCCAGGATAAAGTTGTAGTAGTTGATGTAATTACTTTTGTCAGCATCGATGAAGATCATGTCAAACTGCTCACCTGCAGCAGCTAGTTCCTGAAAGGCACAGGACATAATTACAAAGCTGGCACGTGTTCCCTGAAAAGCAGCTGACACAGCAAACTGTGAATGTAAACAGGTAAAAATGTGCTAAAAGCCATTCTGTACCTGGTTAACCTTACAAAACATGCCCCAGGATATTTTTTAAAGAAGAAAAGAGCAATAAAAAAATTGGTGTTTTGAGTTTTAAGTTATTTTAACATCTGAAGGCTCTATCTTTGTAGAATTTATTTAGAACCGTCTTGATGTATATTTTTATTAAAGCCATGTAATGTTCATAAAAGTCTGACATTATCACGTCTTGAGGAACTCCCTTCCTTTTTCTCTGATCAGCGGACTCTGTGGCTTCCTTTAAAGGCCAGATAAAAACTTATCTTTTTTAATCTGCTTTTGCTTAAATTTGTTTTGTGCATTTTGTTATTTTGTTTATTGAAGCACTTTGTAATTTTTATCTTGAGAAGTGCTATATGAATAAAGTTTTACTTACTTACTTGGTTATTGTAGTAATAGAGACTCGAGCCCAATTAATATATCGGTAGGGTTGATATTTTAGGACGATATAGGCATTTGGGGATATATCAGTATCGGTGATAGCTGTCCCATTACGTGATGAAATAAAAACTTATAATTTTCACCCCTAAAACGCTGTGAACGAGCCATATCCTTACTTACATATGGTGTAATTGTACAATGTAGCCAGCAGAGGGCGCATGTGGACTACTTTCAAGTCATGGTCGTGCTGACTAACAGCACAGCCGAGAGGAGAGCCAAGAAGCAGAAAGCATCTAAACATTATGTAGCATATTTTGCTGAACAGAGCATGATAAGCTTATTGTAACTGATCAGTAAAATAAATAAAAACAAATCAATAATAATAAATTCTCTTCAATCCTCCAACCTGCTTGTCATTAGCTACATACCTCTCAAGTTAGCAAGCTAATGTTTAGATAACCTAGCATAGGCTATTGTCTTGTAAAACTTTATTCAGAACAATAAATCTAACGTAGAGGTAAAATATTTCAGTGTTAGTAACGTTATCTTTGTCGTCCTCAATGAAATGCATTGTTTGTCTGAAATCTTTAGTTCGCTGCAAAGAAAAAACAGCACTGCGGTCAATAATAGACCTAGGCCTGTCACAATAACAAATTTTGCTGGGCTATTAATTGTCTCAGAAATTATTGCGATAAACGATAATATTGTTGGAAATTTGAAAATAATTAGTAATTATCGTCAAATTTAAGACGAAATGTTGGTTAATTTCTGTGTGTAGTGTGTAAAAAAAATGGGAGGGAGGCCCCTCGACGTGACTTGGGGTGACTGTGGCTGAGTGGTTAAAGCAGTCGACCTCCAATGCAAGAGTTGGGGGTTCGAATCCACCAGCAGTTACTTGCCAAAGTGTCCCTGGGCAAGATACTGAACCCCTCATAGCCTCTGATGTGTGTCCCATTGGTGTATGATTGTGATAAAGCACTGATTAGTCTCTTTAGAATGATTTGTTCAATTAGCTTTGTAGATCTGGTAGAGTGCTGTATGAATGGGTAAATGAGGGCACAGATTGTGTTGTAAAGAGCTTTGAGTATCTCAATAAGATAGAAAGGCACTATATAAGTACAGTCCATTTACCATTTTCAACCTTTTGCCACATTTCAGGCTTCAAACATAAAGATATAGAATTTTAATTTTTGTGAAGAATCAACAAGTGGGACACAATCGTGAAGTGGAATGAAATTTATTGGATGTGTCAAACTTTTGTAACAAATAAAAAACTGAAAAGTGGGGCGTGCAATATTATTCCGCCCCTTTACTTTCAGTGCAGCAAACTCACTCCAGAAGTTCAGTGAGGATCTATGAATGATCCAATGTTGTCCCAAATGTAGTATGTCATATAGGGATATATATTCATACTTTTTCACGAGTTCCTCATCTTTCTGACTGTGTAAATGTCGTGCATTGAATTTTAACAGAAATGTAACGAGAGACGTTATTTATCTTTGACCCATCAAAATGAATGCGGTCATTTATTTTCAGAATCAAAGTTAACATCAAACATTTACATTAATTTGGCAAAATATGAAAATAATAACAGACAAGTTTCACAGATAATAGACTTCAATCACACGGCGGTGATTGAGGATTTTGCTTCAGATATTTCTAAAATATCTGTACTGATTTTAAGAGAAAGCAGAGTTTAAGATGGAGATGGAGATTTATCTTACAGAGAGATTTGTGAGGGAATTAATCTGTTTGACCAGAAACGTGCACGCTCCATCAGATCTCAGCTCGCCCACGGTACACTTGGTCGAAAATAGAACCTTCTACCTGGTTGACGATAAACTCAGCGTCGGCGTAGGGTTCCTTTCTGACTCTTTCAGCGTCTCCGTGAGAACTGCCAAACCCTTAGAGAGTCGTACGAGGTTGTTCAAACAGAAGTTATAATCCCAAAACGTCTCTGGATCATCCTGAACGCGTTTGCATCCAAGAACTCTAACTCCATCACTCATCAGCACTCTGTGTGGAACTCTCAGAGCTCTGCAGCATCAGACTCTTTTAGCTCCATTAATCTTCAGCGTCTGGCTTCAGACTTCAGACTCTGTGCACTCTCTAGTTGAACTCATTCCTGAGCGCAGCAACTGCAGCAACTACTTGAACTGGGAAGTTGCCACATTTTAAATGGGTCGACTTCCGGGTCATTTGAGAGCTTTTTGATTCGTGGATGGACCAGGAATAGAGGTGTGGTTTGTGATGTAAGATGTTATCAACTTCGAGGTCAGAGAATGAGATTGTTCAACAACAGACAGAAAGATTATTGCAGAAAACCAGACTTCGTGGAGTCTCACTCTGCTGTATCTTCTCAAATAGTTAAACATGACATTTTTTCTCAGTAAACATTTTAGTTGACCGAGAACCGACCTTTAACATACTTACAAAACTTGCTCATTGCAGACAGAAAAATCAAGAAATGCATATTAACCTGATTTCTTCTTTGAATGAGGAATAAAAATCATTACTTACTGTTTATGTAAAATAAAAATGAGTAGTTTTCTTCAACCTGTAAACATTGAGTGAACTAACACAATTTGATTATCAAACATTTGTAAAATAGTAATGATCATAGAGAATTGTCTTTTCTGCTTGATTAATTCAAGAAAGAAAGTCACCAGATGGCTCAAACTGTATTTCTGGATGCAGATCAATGAAATAACAGTCTCTTGTTCATCTGATCAGATTTGAGGTCAGATCAGGTTCACTACACAAATGACTGATGATGATGAATAGAATCCACCTGTGTGAAATCAAGTCTCCGTATAAATGCACCTGCTCTGTGATAGTCTCAGGGTTCTGTTCAAAGCGCAGAGAGCATCATGAAGACCAAGAAACACCAGGCAGGTCCGAGATACTGTTTTGGAGAAGTTTAATGCCGGATATGGATACAAAAAGATTTCCCAAGCTTTAAACATGCCAAGGAGCACTGTCCAAGCAATCATATTGAAATGGAAGGAGTATCAGACCACTACAAATCTACCAAGACCCGGCCGTCCCTCTAAACTATCATCTCGAACAAGGAGAAGACTGATCAGAGATGCAGCCAAGAGGCCCATGATCACTCTGGATGAACTGCAGAGATCTACAGCTGAGGTGGGAGAGTCTGTCCATAGGACAACAATCAGTTGTACACTGCACAAATCTGGCCTTTATGGAAGAGTGGCAAGAAGAAAGCCATTTCTCAAATATATCCATAAAAAGTGTTGTTTAAAGTTTGCCACAAGCCACCTGGGAGACACACCAAACATGTGGAAGAAGGTGCTCTGGTAGATGAAACCAAAATCAAACTGTTTGGCCACACTGCAAAACGATATGTTTGGCGTAAAAGCAACACAGCTCATCACCCTGAACACACCATCCCCACTGTCAAACATGGTGGTGGCAGCATCATGGTTTGGGACTGCTTTTCATCAGCAGGGACAGGGAAGATGGTCAGAATTGATGGGAAGATGGATGGGGCCAAATACAGGACCATTCTGGAAGAAAACCTGTTTGAGTCTGCAAGAGACCTGAGACTGGGACGGAGATGTATCTTCCAACAAGACAATGATCCAAAACATAAAGGCATATCAACAA